GGCACTATCCAGTGCACTAATTGAGAAATGTATTACAGTGTCATATAGGTTGCCCTACATCTTGGAATATGTGTTGGCTTCCACACACACTTTGGTCCGCCATCACATAGGCCCACAGCTGGTGTCCTTTTTATTTCTTTTGCCCCTCTGCAGCTGACCTCGTCCTACATAATGTTGGTCAATGGCTTAGTAGGCTTGTTAAACTCTTGCACTAGATGTTCTTATGTTTGTAGACTGTTGGACATTAACTGCTGGTGTCAGTAATCATTATCTGGGGCTTTTGTATTTCGCAATGTTGCCTGTACTGCAAACTCAGAGAATCCGTTGCAGGATATATAGGAGGTTTAGTGACTGTGTCCTGAGTTCTCATTACAAAGCTTTTACCAAATTAATAGTTAAATAATTAGTAGTAAGTAAGTAGTAAGTAAAGTAAGTAAATTAATAGTCTCTATGAAAGCTGTTAATGGTGGATTATCCAGTGTAACAGGGAAACTGATTCTGGAAAGAGAATATGTTGCTTTTAATCAGTCTAGGTGTATTTTTTTAACTAGGTGAGCTGTTATAAAAATCTTTGTTATTTGGTGAATTGACCATTTAAACCACCTCTGATTTTAACTCAGATAAAACTGTGTTTTTAGCAAAGCTGGCATCATGGCTTTAGACACAGACTGAAATATCTCAACAGCTATTGAATGGATTGCCATTACATGTTGTACAGAAATTCATTTTCCCCAGAGGATGAAGTCTAATGGCTTCAGTGATTCCCTGACTTTTCCTGTAGCACCACTGTAAAGTCTGTGGCCTTGAGTAAAATATCTAAAAAACTACTGGATTGATTGCTACAAAACTTTGTTCAAACAATCTTGTTCCCCTCATCATGAATTGTCCAAACTTTGGTAACTTTTCATTTAGTGCCACCAAGAGGTCAGAATTATAATTTGTCCAATTCCTATTATGACAAAACTTTCCTGCAAAACTAATGACATTCCAATCAGCTTTATCTGTACTTTGTATTATTAGCAAATGTTGCTAACACGCTAAACGAGGATGTAAAATATAATACCTGCTAAATGCCACTCCTTTAGAATTGTATTTGTGAGCATGTTAGCATGCTGATGTTAACATTTAGGTCAGAGCACTGCTGTCACTGCCTCAGAGAGTCAATAACATGGCTGTAGACTTATTCAGCTTATTTGATGTAATTTTTTCAAGAGACATTGTAAAACAAAAGGCAGTCCCTTTATGCCTGCATTACATTACATTAAATGGAAGATCCTAGATGTCATGTGTGTCACTTTCCTTGCAGCTGAGCCCAATATATTTAGTTTCTTTGGATACCATAAGATATTGGCTAGAATATAAAGGATACATAAAATAACTTTGCAATTATGGTGGAAAGCTGTGGAATAAAGCTGTCCAGCACATAGCTTATGAAATTCATCCATCCATCCTATCCTAAAAAATTGCTGGTCTTTGTTTTTTCTTTGTCTCTGTAGGCCATTCATGTCTCAGTGAACCCTCTATACTTCATGATACCTGCAACAGTAGGATGTTCATATGCCTTCATGCTGCCAGTGTCCACGCCACCCAACTCCATCGCCTTTGCGTCAGGACATCTGATGGTTAAAGACATGGTAAGATCCTCACATCAGAGCTCGATGCTAAAACATATTGTTAACTTTCACCGCCTGTCCTCATGTTTTCTGTTCCTTTTTTCTTAGGTGAAAACTGGCTTTGTCATGAACATCCTGGGTGTCCTCTCAGTCTCTCTGGCCATGAACACTTGGGGCGTTGCCATGTTTAACTTGAACACGTACCCAGAATGGGCTCACCCCATCAACAAGTCTGCTCTTGTGACTGATGTACACTCTTCATCTGTGCAGTCACTCAATGCCACGCTCTGATCGCTCACCCAATCTCATGAGTGTGAGCATGGAGGAAGTATCATAAGGTTGTATAAAGATTTAACACTTAACAGGGACAAATGTCTGTCTGTAGATGCCTACTCTATGTCACTTAAATGTCATAACAGTCTGGGAGCTTCAGCTGTTACCCGTTAGGATGAATTTAATATGTTTATAACACTCCATTGTCTTTTTAGGCTCTTAAGAGTCAAGGACTCATGCTGTGAACTGTTACTTTTGACACACTCCAAGTCACCATGTTCCAAAAAATTAAAAACAAGCTAGATTATTTTTCTCTGCCTTCTTAAAACTGGACAGGAGAGGCATTTAACCTCAACAACAAGAACAGCCAGAGCTCTGAAGAGTTTTTTGAGCTGTTTGTATCAATGCTACTATAATGACCTCTGCTGGAAGACTGAGCGAGACCTATGTGAATAATTCTTCTAAAATATATATTTTTGGTTGAAATCAAAGTGATCATGTTACTTGTTTGTGTATTATATGGCACACATTTGGTTGCCACAGGCATAGCACATAAATAATGTTTTCTACTTTAGAGTATCAATCCTGCGTAAAGAAAGTGTAAATTTTGTTACAAAGTGATTTGCGTTCATTTAACTGCTGTTACAAATAAATTGTTTGAGTTTGATTTATGATAATTTAGTTGCATGTGGTCCCTGTATTTGCCTGTATAAGCGTAGATAGCAGGTTTATTGTATTTTTAACAGTTTCGGAGTGCAATTCACTTTTACACCACTATCATAAATACAATACAAGTCTCACCTCGACCCAATGTGCAGTTTACACCTGGCTATAACTGTGAAAACAGGCTGACTTGGCTTATTTTCAAAAAGTACCGAGTCAACAAGTTTGGTAACACAGCCAAAGATTAAGCAAGTGCAACAACACAAGACATAGAAAGCCAGCTAATATTACTTGTTAATAGTTTTTCATCTGTCTTCCAGCCTTGTATTATTGCGAAGTCTCGCTAATGACTAAAAGCCATATTTACTCTTGTCCGGCCTCTTGGTTGATCACAAGCTACCTTCATCAATGTCTTCTTCGGTCTCAGTGCCTTTGTTGTGATATTTGTATTGAGAATACAGAGTGAGCTTCTTCTTATAGCTGAAGACTCATATTTGGTGTTGTGTGACGTAGTGCCATAAAGCACTGAGCACTTCTCGCGCCAGAAAGATTCACCATTCTCCCTATTATAAGTCAGTGTACCATCAAAATGATTTTTAAGCTGTTATTCTAAAGATTTAAGATAATAGTTACATAATGTTGCTTTAAGAAAAGCATCTTGTTATCAAAATATTCACAACGGATAAATTGTGTAAACCTCAGTCCGCAGGTTAAGATTAGCTGTAGCTGTGTTGATGCAGGTTTAATACACATTTTGGCCTCTGCACACAAAGAGTCAGAGAGAGCATGCACTTGTAAATTCCTTGAAATGCTTGTTTGGTGTAGTAATCTGTCTGAAGTCACAAGGCCCGACCACAATGGTTAACTTGTGCAAGACTGTGGTGGTTACTGAGTGCCAGCAGGGTCAGTGTAACAGGTCCTGTCGTGTCTGTTGCAAAACTATAAAGTGCTCAACCAAAAATACAAACAATTTTTCGAAAACATGCAGTTGTGTCTCTGTTCACACCATCTCAGTCAACATGTCCTGTACCTACAGAGTGTCTTCTGGAAAAGGTATTTACATGCCACTGTATCCTGGTTTCTATGAGAGTACAGTATTCCAGGTTGTCTATGAAGATTCTCAGTCATCCAGGTCATAGTTATCCAACGAAGGTTAAAATGAAGGGCAACTGGACTTGGTTGAAGATACGGGAAGATGTTTCGTCCCTCATCCAAAGGACTTCTTCAGTTCTGACTGACTGGCAGGGAAACTCAGCTATTTAACCTCAGTGGGGTTGTTGATACCGCTGGTTCGTTAGTGTTCCTTGTTGCTGTGACGACAGTCGTTACGACTACCTGTGGCCAAGACTGAACGACCATCGTTGGTATCTTCACCTGAGGCCAAAAGTTTACGTTTGTTGAGTTTCCTGGGAAGTGATGAAAGGACAGCATTGTAAGTGGGGGATAAGTGGTGGAGTAGACCCTCTCCCCTGTTCAATGACGGCTTCTCAACCCGGGTGTAGATGCTTCCTTGACACCTCTTTCAAACCATCCATCTTCTCTGTCTAAAATGTGCACCTGGTGGTCCTCAAACGAGTGTCCTCTGTCCTTCGTAAGTAGACTGCAGAGTCTTGACCTGAGAGACCAGGTTGCATATTCAGGTTTCTCAAAATTGGGATAAGGCCTTATCCAGGTTTCTAAAACCAGGATATGGTGTTTACATGTGCAACACATTACCAGGATAGCCTACCTCAAAAACCAGATCACAACCCAGGATACCTGTGCCCATGTAAACGCACTCACTGCCCCACATGTCAGGAACAATCAAAGTACCAGCAAAGAACAACAACTCACCATAGAATGTACACAGTAATTCATCTACTAAGCCTACACAGAGTGCACAAAAGTAAAAAGATTAAAATAGCCCACAACATTTAGCATAACAGTACTTCAGCCTGTTCCACTTTAAACTACTGTAAATCATAAAATGTCACAATTATACTCACTAGTGGTAAAACATTTTCTACCTTACATCATTTTTGATTAGTTGTATGCCATTTTGCAACATAGCAATACAGTAGAGACCTTATTTATGTAATGTTTCAATATTGAGCTAGCTTAGTATGATGTGCTATGATGAAGTGGCTCATGCCATCCAGAAAGCTAATACACCAGGGCTTGACATTAACTTTTTTACTCACTAACCAATGTGGCCAGTGGTTTTACAAAGTTACAAGTCACGCAGCATTTTCACAAGCCACATTTTTGTTGTTGGAAAATTGAGTTTTATATGATTAAAGTTCATGGTGGTGCAGTGGTTAGCACTGTCGCCTCACAGCAAGAAGGTCCGTGTGGAGTTTGCATGTTCTCCTCATGTCTGTTTGGGTTCTCTCCGGGTGCTCCGGCTTCCTACCGCCGTCCAAAGACATGCAGCCTAGGTTGATTGGTGACCCTAAGTTGTCCTTAGGTGTGAGTTGTTGTCCATGTGTGGCCCTGCGATGGACTGGCGACCTGTCCAGGGTGTACCCTGCCTTTCGCCTGATGTCAGCTGGGATTGGCTCCAGCCCCCATGCAGGATAAGCGGTTGACGATGGCTGATTAAAGTTGACTATGGTGTGCCAAAATGTAATATCAATTGCTCAGATAAGGTTGTGTGTAAAGCTCCTTTTTTTGAAAGGATGTAGCTTATTAAAATAAACATGAGAGTAGCTTCTTATTGTAAATAATGAAAGTGCTGCATGGGTGTAAAAAAATTGTAAAGATAACTGACTTTTCAGAAACACCATTTATAAAAAGCTGTAAATACTGTAATACAGAGTAAAAAATTATCTGCAAAAAAGAAACAAGAGCAAAGAACAAATTATTTTGTCTAAAAAAAAAAAAATCCACAACTAAGGCAAAAGGATTAAAACTTTATGTAGGCCTATATCATTGTTGTGCACTTTTGGATTGTTTGTTTTGCATCTACATTTCCTCAGAACTGTGATTGGATTTATGTTCATGAAATGCACACAATCATTGATTAGCCACTTGTATGTCCAACCTAATTAGATTATTATGATTAAGTAATCATAGTGCAACCAGTTTTAATAGCTGATATATTTACAACCTAACTAGTCTCTAGTTTCAACTTTACACCCTAAATTAGGAGAGAACATACATATCTGGTACAACCCAGTGTAGTTACTTGGAATGCTGTTGGCTATTGTCAACACATTGTCACGGATTTGTGTGGTGAAGCAGGTTGGAGGACCCAAATGCAGGACGCAAGGCAAAGGAGGTACAGTTCAAGGGGTTTTAATAAACAAAGAAAGGCGAGCACACTTACAAACTGAGTGGCTGATGACCAAAAACAAAGGTTGTCCAACAGAAATTCAATAACGAGCAGGGAAACACGACAAGTGAGGCTGATGACACGAGAACACACTGCAACACAGGGTAACAACATGCAATGACCCAACATTCACTGGGGTAACAGACATGACAAGGGTTACCGAACACTAGACAACAGACAAAACAGACCCCCAAAACCCAACAGACTAAAATAACGCTAACTAAACACAAAAGTGCAAAACACGGCATGGCAGACAGGCAGATTGTGACACACATAAGCAGACAGCTAGTGTCTGTAAGCTATTCTTCTGTTTATGTAAGTTTTTAATATTTCACATTTGCTTTGGCAATGTAAACGTCTGTTTAGCATAGCATAAAGCCCAACTGAATTGAACTGGAATAGTAACTAGCTTGGTTTGGCTGTTTGCGGAGTAAAGAAAAGATGGCTGTTGTGTGTACTTGTTCGTGTTCTGAAACAAGAAAACATAGGAGGCAACTGTTTTTTCCCCATTAGTTACTTAGGTGGAAAATGTGCCTCAGTCAACAGTTTTATATTCGTGTGACAAACTGGAGGAAAGTGTAGACAACAGGAAACAGCAAAAAAGCTAGATTTCCCCCCTTCATCTACTTAAGCATTGTAGTGTCAAGCTCATAGGTCAAGCTGGAGGAGGATTTGAATAAATTATGTGTGATCGCACTGGCATCAACATAACTTAGTGTGTGAGCTGAGTGAAACAAATATTACTAATTACACTCTTAAACTGCATTTTTGGTTAGAGTGACCAGTGTCACATTAGGTGTGTGTGACTGCTTCATGCCTCTGCATATGATTTTGTGTCATGTATGGTTTACATAGGGAACAGATAACTTTTTCCCTCGTGGGAACTTGTTGACAACCCACAAACACCAACATGACAGTGACTGTTCAGAGAAGTTCCTCTTTTAACCTTCACAGTCCTCCTTCACACACTTCCCACTCCTGCTTTTCCTTAAACTCATAATTTCACAGAGAGAATGAAGTTCATCACAGATAATATTATAACTCCTATCAGGTAAGAACTGTAATTTATTTTTGAAGTAAGCCTTAATGGTCTGTCTATCTATCTATCTATTTATCTATCATCATGGAATTAAGAAAATGTTCAGGTTAACTATGGCTTTATTGCCAAGAGTTACATGAGAAGGTTAATAATACCACTCTCAAGTCTGTTAGTTTAATATGAAGCTGGATCCAGCAGCCAGTTAGATTATCTTAGCATAAAGACTGAAAACGGGAGTAAAGAGTAATCCACCTACCAGCACCTGTAATGCTCACTAATTATCACATATCTATCATTAATCTGTATAAAAAACTAATTGTAAAAATTTGTGGCTTTACATATTGAATTGACTGATTTTAATTAATTTTAATTTCCAAGTCTAACTCTCAGCAAAAAGCAAAAAGGTGTGTTTTCCAATATGTCAAGATATTACTTGTATTTTTTCTCCTCAGGAGCAGAACAAGATCTTGCAGACAGGCTCTAAAATCTGTCCTGCTTTATCTCTGGGATGTTTACTCTGCACCTACAACTGTTGGCAGAGATGTCCTGACTCTACTGTCTCTCTGTTTCATGCTCTCAATCATCACTGGTGGACTGCTTCATCACTGGCTGTCAAATATTCTGAAATACAACCACCAAGCGTCTGTTCAGACCACCTGCATCTACAGCGTTGCTATGTTTCTTGTCTCGTTCCTGTGTCATCCTCTGCGCTGTGTGCTGACCATGATTCTGCCCACAGTCTGCACCAAACAGGGACGTAAACTCCTCATCTCAGCCTCTGTCATGATTTTAGTTTTGAACGTCGTCCCTAATATTACCGTTAACGTAGGGGTCGTCGCACGCATCCTGAAGTGCACCGCTGAGGGCTTCACAAAGACTTTATTAAACTCATCCGAACCTTTGAACCAAGCAAAGCGAGACCTTGTTGAGGAAACCATCAAAGTCAAGAGGGAAGACTTGAGCATTGTCACTAACTTGAGGAAATTAGATCATTTCACACATGTTGATGTGTCAGAAGTCAAAAGCAGATTTACTAAGATGATTGGGCAGATAGAGGTCAACTTTTCACATGCCAGGAATCTGCTAAAAGAATATAAACTGCTGTCAAACCGAATCCTTGCTGCCATTTTTGTTGCTTTACTAATCTTTGAATCTGCACGCTACTTGAAATCTTATCTGACATCAGTCAAGTTTGATAATGGCTATGTCTCCAAAGAGTGCCTCCAAAAAGCAACTCATGCTGGTAACAAAAGGCTAGCTAAAAATAAAACCTATCCCACAAGCTGCAAAATAACAAGTCAGGAATGTGCCTCCAGTTTCATAGCACTAGTTGTAGTAACATTATATTTCATTGCAATAGCTTTAATAGTAGCTTTGGATCATGTTGTGTATCATGTCGTTCAGGTGATTGTGCCGTGGCTACTGGACTTCCCACCGACATCTGCCAGCATTAGTGTCAGTTATAAGGTAAGACAGCACACAAACTGCTTCACCACTTCAGCTCCTTTTACACCTGCAGCACTTGCTTCCTTGCTCTTAAGGTTTTCATCTATTTGCTTGCTTGTTTTCTTAAAATCTCCCGATAGGTCCAGTGGTTCCCCCCTGCTTTTTGTATTATCCCACAATCCTGTGTCACACGGGAGCTCACAAACTTCCACAGGGATTACAAGTGGACCTTCAACCCCGAGCCATCGCTCTGTGATGTGACAACTTCAAGCCCGAACCTGGGAGTCACACTCTTGCTGGGATGTCTCTGGCTGATGAGCTACACTCTGGTGTTCCTCGAGGTGTACGCCAGACGGCTGCGCAGGAAAATCTCTGCATCCTTTTTCAGAAAGCAAGAGGAGAGGAGGATGGCTTACTTGATTAAGAAAATTCAAGAGAAGCAGACTAAAAAAAGAGCCCTTTTCCGTTGAGTTATCCCGTTGGTGAACTTTCACTGTTGTTTCACAATGCTTGTCTTAGTTTTCTGTTGATGTTTTTAGCCATGCTAGCAGAGTGGCTGTAAGGATTGCAATGATGGTCTGTTCAGACAGACAGAAATATTTCAACAACTGTTAAGTTGGATTGCCTTGAAAGGTTGTACAGACATTTATGGTGCCTGGAGGATGAACTCTACTGACTTTGTTGATCCCCTGACTTTCCCTCTAGGGCCATCATGAGTTTCACATTTAGGTTGTTAGGGAAATCTTTCAACAAATTTTGTATGAATTGCCATGAAGTATTCACATTGCACTCAGGATGAAATGTACTAACTTCAGTTTTATTAATCAGGTGAAAATGTTTATTGTTAATTATTCAATAGCCTACTTTATTAGTGGTTAGTTTATGACCAAATACCTGCAAAACCAATCACATTTCCTTCAGTTGTACTTTGTGTTTAGTGCTGATCAGCAAATGTTTGCATGCTAACACGCTAAAATAAGATGGTGAACATGGTCAAGATTCTGCAAGTACAGCCTCACAGGGCTGCTACAGCATGGCTGAAGAGTCTCAGGCTTGTTTTTGTGTTCAGGTTTGCATCGTATCAATCAGTGTGCTTGTGCTGAGTTCCTGTTTTAGCAAAACATAAGCTGAAGACAGAGCATCCTGTGTATGAGTTACTGTAACAAGACCTTTTCCTGCACAAGCGTGTCACCACTCGAGATCATCCTCTTCACACTTAAAGCTGATGTGGTTTTAAAGACGTACCATCAAACATGCTCAATCTGCACCCACTCTGTATGTTTGACAGGGAAAAAAAAGGTGTTTTTTTCACACAAAGGTCACAAAGCAAGTGTGTATATTTTTTTGTGTCTACAATATTGTTTTTCCTCCCTTGTGTGGTTCAGTATAAATGTGTCATTTCTTGTGGGGCGGATTTTACCCCTCAGCCCCACTAGATGCCACTATGAGGCTTTGGACAGATGCGGACAGAGAATAATGAAGTCAGGAAATGAACAGAAGTAGATTGGATCTTTTTTGAATATTGTATTGGCCTAGATAACTTTAATAGATTAAATAAATCTGTTTCATACACACATCCACATAATAAGTGTGCCCTTACAAAAAAAAATAAAAAAATCACTTCTGTTTTCTGAAAAAGTCCTTTGCATGTCATCAGTACACTCCTACCAAAACACTCCCATGAGGCTTCGGGAGTTTATATTAAGACATCATCCGAGAATAATAATAGAATACCTCATTATCATCTATTTATAACCGTGACTTTTTGTCCACTTCATGATTGTCTCAAAATTCAGCAGCCTGTGTAAAGATGATGCCTTATAGTTGGTCCAGAAAAGATGAATTATTCATATTTTCTGTTACTTTGAATTCTCTGCTGCTTACTCTGTGTGTGTGTGTGTGTGTGTGTGTGTGTGTGTGTGTGTGTGTGTGTGTGTGTGTGTGTGTGTGTGTGTGTGTGTGTGTGTGTGTGTGTGTGAGCTATGGGCTTTTTCTCATTGGAAATGCAGTGAACTGAAGCACACATTATTCTTAAAATGTAAATAAAATGCATCTGTGAGCATCCACTTTTTCCATTTCATTTCTCCTTAAGTAGCTTTAAAGTTACAATGTGTAAGATATGGCCAGATACTAACTAGACTGATATTGTCAACAGAATGTGAAGAGGTTCTGGAGGACATTCTGTATCAGTTTGATCCAGCTCTTCAGTGAAGTTATATGATGTTCACACTTAAAACTCCAGACTTAAATAGAATATGATAGATATATTTAATTTTATTTACATTTCCCAAAAATTCAGCCTGGCATGTTTGGTACCTTTGTAAACTTTGGGGTTTCCACAAGAAAGTAAAATAAATGTCTTTGGGAATTAAAACATTTTTGATGCACAGCAACAACTGGGCCACCTGCAGGTATGAAGCGTGTGCATCGCTGAAGATGAGCAGACTAATCATTGTATTTGTTCAGACACAGTAACGGACAGACTTCTTAGCATCAGTCAATTACTTGGACAAAACCTGTTCTGCAGGATTATTTTTCCTACTGTGAAGCTGTTATCTGTTGAATAGAAAGCCTGCTTGACTGAATGTTCTACAACTGAAATATGTCATGCATTAGCATTCATAATCACAGTCTTGCCCACAACAGGAGATTTAAATAGCTTTCCAAGCTCTAATTGGTGTGTTAGAATCTGTTTCATTGCTTTAAGAAATAGATTTTAATGCTATTTACTTTTCAGCTATCAGCTAGGAGTAGGTTTTAACAGTATCAGCATGCCAAAGCAGCAGCAAGAATGTTAATCTAATGAAGTGTGTTCCTGTTTGTCCCTTAAGAGACAAGACAATTTCAAATCCTGCACCTCTGAATCTGTGCAAAACCAGAGAATCCAAAACAGTTAATTTGCCCTTTCACACAAACTAAAATGATGTCTGCTGGTGGCAAAAAAAGGTCTACTTCATAATTAGTGCCACTTCAGTTCAATGACCAATCACTGCAGTGGATGATCTGTTGAATTGCAGGCTACCTCCTCTGTTCTTTGAATAATTACAGGGTTTATGGCTACAGCCTTGGCCGCAGTGGTTGACACGATATTCTGAGCTTGGATGGGGAGGTGAAATTGATTTTTAAGTTGGTGGCTGTACAAGGCAGAGTGTTGCAGTGTGGATATAATAGTGGATGATGTGGAAGAGAGGGAGGGGTGCACTGGGAACACAGTGAGGGAGAGAGAGAGAGAGAGAGACATATGTGGACCACTAGAGCAGCTCTGTAGAAGGACTAAGCTGTCATCTGTGTTTCTTGCTTGATTGCACCTGAGTGCTGCTACCGTGCCAGAGTGAACGCTGCCCTCTGCAAATGATGGTAAGCAGCACAATTTCATCTCTTAAAATATTTGTTAGAAATTTATTTACTCTCCCTCACTTATATTTTCTTAACCTGAATAAACAGTGAACGATTTAGCAATTTATTTCTGCTTCTTTGGCTAGGCGTGTGTACAAAACATATTTGTCGTAGGAAGGGTTGTCTGACATTTCTGGGAAAGCAGGGGAGTGTCTTTTATTTGAACTCACACCATATTTACATTTCAACCTTTCCTTGTGAGATGATAAAAAAAAGGATCAAATAGTTGCAAATGATGGCTTTAGTGTGCGCAGTGTGTCATTAAGGTGCACTTAATCACACATTCGCAGAGGACAACAATCCTATCACTGTTTTAAGGCTAATCCTTTTACTTTCACAAGCAACTAGCTAATAGGACCAATACGTCAGTTTTGAGAAATACAGAACACACATTGATGTGGTCATTCCCACTTTTCTGTCTGCATCATAACAAAGGTTTAAATGTGTAATTTAATGTTGGACAAAATTAAGATTCAAGTTTAGCCTTTTACAATATTCACTCTGGTCTCTACCAACTCCTGAGAGAAATATCTCGCTCTTTAGCAGTGATGGGAAGGTTACTTTGGAAATGTAATCGATTACCGATTACAAGTTACCCTATTTAAAATGTATTAGTAGTGTAACTATTTCTGTTACTTTATTAAAGCAATGTTACTTCTTACATTTTATTGATTTTTGATCACTTTTCTAATTTTCTAATGGATGTTGTTAACCATTTTCAGAAGACAGCTTGAGAGGCAATGTAACTGGCAGACGGGTAGCGCTGCAAATTCAAACATGAAAACCAATCGAAAGCATCCGAATAGCATTAATCTTTACTAAACTGCTGTGGTTGGAAATAGCAAAGGAAGACATGAAAAACACACAAAGCAACAAAATGATTATTCAACATATAGCCTATATTTTTACAGAAAATGTTCAGATGTAACCCCCAATGTAAACATGAACGTTTTCATAAGTAACTGTAATTTAATTACACATTTTTTCCTGGTAACTGTAATGGATTACAGTTACACTTATTGTGTGATTATATTACTTAATAAAATATGTATTACTCTCCAACACTGCTCTTTAGCTACCAAATGCTCCACTATTCGCTGGTAGTCTACAGTGGGTTTTTAGAGCACTTTGTGCTGAAAACAACTGTCTGCTGTATGCGACGGTATGAGAGCAGTCAGACTGAACCAAAATAGTAAAGTTGTGGCCGGACCGCTGAACAATGAGCTAAAACTCTTTTAGACTAACATTGCACAGCACAGCTTGAGCTCAGTTAGCACACAACCACCCAGGTGGAAACACAAAGAAGTCATAACTGATCACACACCGATCAGAACCTTCAATAGATAGATAAAGGGGCCAGAGTCAGTTCATTCAGAGTTGGAACAACGGATCCAGAGAGACGTGAAGGAAGAGGTCGAGGACACCAGAGAGGAGGAGGAGGAAGAGCAGTAGGGAGAGGAGGAAGAGGTGATGGAAGAGGAAGAGAAAGAGGTGGAGGAGGAGTAGGGAGAGGACAAGATTCTCTAGCCTGTCCCAGACCAAAGGCAGGATGCTGGGGCAAAATAATTTTTTGTTGTTGTTTAGTGCATTGTAGCCTACTTTACAGTGCATTAAGGAATAAAAAATGTGCAAATGTATTCATTTGTTGTGTCTTTTGTTGTGTTCATCATGTGAAAAGGTTTTTGAGGGGGATAACCACAAGTAACATTACTTATAACCAGTTTTTGTAGTATTGGTTTGAATCATAGACTGTATATAAGAAGTGGCTGTAGTCATCGTGACGTCACCCGTTGGTTTGTTGAGTGCTGTTATGAAGCCTCAAATTTGGCCGTTAGGGACTCGCCATGTTGAGTTTTTGCAACCAGCGGCACTGGACGTGACCATATTTGGACGAGAGGGTGTAGCTAACAGCATCTGTAATTCACTTCACCAGAGAAAGTGAACAGCCAAATCCTAATAAGTTTTTTTTAACGGCGCTGGTTAAATTCACACAGTGGCGTGGGTAGGAGTCACTCAAGCCTGATTGTCAGGTCACCATGGTAACGACTTGTCAATCATAGATAATCCTGCCCATGAAACATAGTTCGATAGAATGCAGGTTTCAAGGGACTTAGACATTGGCTTCGCTTCGCTTCGTGTGTGTTTCTGGTCATGTCTGAGGGCAAAGTTAGATTTTTTAGCAATATTGAATAGTTTTGAGTGGAGAGCTTCATTTTGACCGGAAAATAGGAAATTTGGGGAATTGAGTGAGAAGTTATGGATTTGTGTTTAGAGTTTTGAGAAATGAATGCAAAATTTCAAGAAATGTGTTTAAGTAATCAAGAAAAAGTGGAGAGTCTGGGAGTTTTTTTTTAATCTAATGCTGGGAAGCATCCCGCTGTTCTCAAAATATGAAATATAAAACTCAAACCTACTTCCCTGCCCCAATAATTTTCATACAGTCCCTTTTTTCTCTCTCTTTTTCTGTTTTTAGGATTCTTGCTGTGTGCCCCTGGAGATCAAATGAATTGTTACCACAGGACAGGAACACAATGGAGAACAACACAACCATCTTTCAGGATGTCTCTCGGGTTGTAAATCTGACAGAAATGCCTCTGAACCCTCTTGAAGAGCAGGTCATAACAATATTTTTGACAATTCTCATCTGTGTTGTTGGGATTGCTGGGAATATCATGGTGGTGCTGGTTGTGCTGCGCACTAAACACATGGTCACCCCGACTAACTGTTACCTTGTCAGTCTGGCTGTTGCAGACCTCATTGTGCTCTTGGCTGCAGGGCTGCCTAACATCTCTGATGTTGTTGCCTACTGGATATACGGATACACAGGGTGCTTGTGTATAACCTATCTTCAGTACCTGGGCATCAACGTGTCGTCCTGCTCCATCACAGCCTTCACCATCGAACGATACATTGCTATTTGTCACTCCATAAAGGCACAATTCATATGCACCGTTTCCCGGGCCAAGAGGATCATAGCTGGAGTCTGGGTCTTTACCTCACTCTATTGCATTATGTGGTTCTTTTTAGTGGACACTGATGTAACCGTCTATACCAACGGAGTGGTGGTCACCTGTGGCTACCGTGTCTCCAGGAGCCTCTACATGCCAATCTATTTCCTGGATTTCACTTTGTTTTATGTGATCCCCCTTACTGTGGCCACTGTGCTATATGGGCTCATTGCGAGGATTTTGTTCATGAGCCCTTTGCCAGCGCATCTGAGTGATGGAGCCGGAGGAGGGTCAGTTCACCAGGGTCACTCTAACAGCACTAACAAGACTAACAAGGGTGCATTCTCTGCAAGGAAACAGGTACTTTAAAGTCTAAACTGAGAAATAGTTTAGCCAGACATTTAAATCTTTTATTAGGCTATGGGTGTGGCTCAAGAGATGGAAATGTTGGTCATGGTGATGCACCACTTTGGTCCAAACCAAAATATTTCAATAACTATTAATATGTTTGCCATGAGATCTTGTTCAGATGGTTCTCAGAGGATGAATCATACAGACTTTGGTGATCTCCTGACTTTTCCTCTAGTGCCACTGTGAAGATGACATTTGTGATTTTGATTGAAATGTCCCAACAACTACTGGATGAACTGCCATGAAATTTGGTTAAGACATTCATGTTCCCCTTAGGATAAATCGTAATCAGTTTGGAGATCCTCTGACTTTTCATCTTTCGCCATAATCAGGTCCACTAGACTACTTTGGTTCATGACAAAATACCTGCAAAACGAGTGACATTCCCATCAGCTTCAGCCATACTTCGCGTTTAGAGCTAATTTGCAAATGTTAGCATGCTAACTTGCTAAACAAATGATGGTGAACATAGTAAACAATATTCCTGCTAAACATCAGTGCTGGTCGGAACAGCTTCGGAGACCCCCGCCTCTTCTTGACATCAGAATTTAGGGGCTGTGCGCAACAAATTCTATAATTTCACCAAACAGACAATGTGACATTCGCACTCACTTAATGCCGTGATAGGCCAGCGGTGTGAAACAGTGGCGCCCCCAGAAGATTTTCCTAGGGGTGGCCAGATGGGGCCACTGAAAATCCTGGGGTGGCACGCTAAACCAAAAGCCATAAATTCTATTAAGCACTATATAAACTAGTTGAATACTACGTAAAAATATGAGTAAAGGAATCACAGACTGAATTACTTTGGTTTCTTATTTTACAATATATAATCCGATTCCCAGCTCCATACCTTTCATACAGCACAGCGAGCCAGCATATTGGCCTAATAATCCCGAATAATAAGGCAATATGAAAGTGGTTTGATGACAACAACATTATGACAACAACGTAATCCGTAGCCTAGTCTCAACCGATCAAGCACATCAATCTGTCCCATGCAGGGACCAGCAGCAGAGTCAGGATGATAAAAGATGCTTTCACTCACCACAGAAAGGCGGAAATTCCTCTGGGCAAACTTCTGGATGACTCTGAAGATTTTCAGACAGTCCGCCGACTCATCGTGCCCCCACAGTGTTTGTTGCGCTGCTCAATGGTGCGCCTGTTGCGATGTTTACCCTTCTAAGTAATGTTGAGCCCAGTTTCACAGCATCGTGGAGATGACTCCCACTGTTCTCACGTTTTGCAATCCTCAGATGAAAACAGGCACAAGACGGTCTCCCTCGAAGCATAACGTACGGCGCTGTCAGGGCTCCAGTGTTCGTACGCTTAGCTTGCTGTTAGCGATGGTGCTAACCTGTTGCTATCTGCAGACTATTAGCTCTCAGACACAGTACAATACACAGAACTGCGTAGCAGTGTGACAAACTTATTATAAACTAGCCAGGCTACTAACTGTTTCTGTAAATTAATTAAATTACACTTTTATTTCTTCTGCAGCTGGTCGCTACCTCCACAGGAAACACACATATTGGGCACAATACGAGAAGGGTATATACAACTTCCATATATGGTTTGTCCCAGAAGCCACCGCGCACAAAACGACGTTTATCTCGCGTTACTCAAAAAATTGTAATAAGTTACTCTTACTTATTACTCCTTTAAAAAAGTAATAATATTATTTTACTTATTACCAGGTATTAAAACACATTAGATTATTCTGCTTTCACTGGAACTGCCCCTGACCTGCTGCACAGTCGTACATTTATGTCACAAATTACGTTTTGGTAACACAGTAAGCCACTGAGCCACTAGCATTTCTGTAGACTCTTGTTATTAGGTGTTTGTATATTACACATATGACGTCATATTACGTCACTCTTGTTCCTCATTTCCTTGCTCCTCTGTCTCTGCATCAACAGATAACAAAGATGCTGGCTGTGGTGGTCATCCTCTTTGCTTTGTTGTGGATGCCTTACCGAACACTGGTGGTGGTCAACTCCTTCATCGACCCACCATACCACAACACCTGGTTCCTGCTCTTCTGCCGGATGTGCATCTACACCAACAGTGCCATCAACCCCATAATTTACAACCTCATGTCTCAGAAGTTTCGTGTCGCATTCAAAAAGCTCTGCAAGTGCAACTTGCGGAAGAAGGAGAAGGTGGCAGAGTACAACGTGCCGATGTATTACAGTGTGATGAAGGATTCGTCCCATGAGAGCAATGAGCTGGTCACAGAGCAGGAGGAAATGAGTGCCCAACCCACCAAGAGGTTCAATGAAACAGATGATGCAAGCACTTCAAGCATTTCTTAATAAAGGCTTTGATGAGTTTGTTGAGTTCATTAGGTGTGTGTGTGTATGATAAATTATTTATGGAAATCTTTCATTTTTATGTTTATTTGTGTATTATTACTGTTATTTATACCTGTTACAAAAAGTATTTGTTGATGCTGAGGTCTGTAGATTTTATTTTGTTTGCTGTTGTTGTATTTGTGGTGTAGTAGTGGTACTTTTGCATCAGTATTGTAACTGTGTTAGAGTGTACTTCACACTGCTTAGTGGGACTTAATTGCATCATAAGGTGCATGACCATTACACACAAATTAGCGGTTCATGTTTTTGGAAATATTGTACTCACCATTTTAGTGTACATAAAAAAAGTAATGACTGGGAAAGATGGACATTTCATGTGACATGTGAAACTGGTCCAATGGGTGCATATTTTGAAATTTGCCATGAGACAATGTCCAGACTTTTTTTGCTAACTTGTTGTGTCTAGAACTGGTAGGCTAGTTGTGTGCAGCACTGACCTAATCATATTATCATAATAATGTGTCTCTAGATAACAAGTGCACTTGTGTTGTTCATGTGCTCAGGCTGGAGTGTACAGTTCACTCAGATGTAATACACTCTTCAATAGCACTGATTAACACACAGTCCAGTATGTTTCCATTTTTTAAAACACTTATTTATACAGGTATCCCATTTCAACAAGACAAGATGAATAAATAATAAAAATATAAAGTATAATTTAATTTAATAATTTAATGTTTTTATAGCCACGCTAGCGGACAGCAACAGCAATGTCTGCCTGCTGGTAATGACATTCCTGTCAGCCTCATCTGTACTTGGTATTTAGTGCTAATAAGCAAATGTTAGCATGCTAAACTAAGATGGTGAAATTGTTAAACTTTATACCTGCTAAACATCAATATGTTAGCATTGTCATTGTAAGCATGTTATAGCATGTGGATATTAGCATTTAGCTCAAAGCACCACTGTGCGTATGTACAGCCTCACTGAGCATCATGATGATATTTCAGACAACAGTATAGCTAACCAGCTTCCATAGACAATGAATTTGGAAAAAATCAGCTACCTAAACTACATAGTTTAAACCCTGTGCACAGCCATGGTCCTCCTACAGAGGTGCTTTCACTTATGTTGCCCGATTTGACCTCCTCTCAGATCTGTGAGGCCATGTACATAGTAAGTTTGACCCTCTGTCACTGTCCTGTTAGTTTTGTTACACCTGTTAGTGTGGGACCATATACACCATTATCATTATTATTAGTTAACAGACTTTAGAGATCGCGCAATAAACGCAGAAAGAATGTCCGCCAATATGCCGCATTTGGTCATTCATACTGAACAAAGAGATTGCGACATAATCCTGCAACCATGTGTGCTTTCATGCGTGGTGTGTTTCTTTACACAGACATCTTTCCAGCTGTGTTACTACCAACATTTCCAGTTTAGAGGCGGATCGAATCTGACACCCTTTACAGCTCTGTACCTTTCATTCGTTGCAGCAAGCCGGCATATTGGCGTAATAATCCCGGAAAATAAGCCAGTGTGAAAGTGCCTTTTGATGACATTGTGTAATTCCTAGCAAAGCTCCAACTAATAACACCTGTGTGGGTGTGCAGGATCTTTAATATTAAGGGTCTTAATTCTCAGTAGCAAGAATATTTTTCTTCATATACCAACTACCTTTTTTACTTCTTGAAATTGTTACTGAATTTTCCCATGGAAGCTGGAACGAATCAGTTCCACTTCAGAAGTCAGAGAATGAAAATAAAGTAGTCTTTTTTTTAGCTGCTGGGGACATACAACAAATCTGACAGCTAGCGCATTATGGGAAAAAATATTGTGACCTTAATTGCTGCCAACAAGTTTGCTTTCTCCCTTGTCTTATTGCTGTCGTCTTGCGCTGTTGGCTGTGTTACTGCATGTCTCTGCATCTCAACATCTTCATCTGTCTAGACCCTGTAAGTATGTTTTTATATTGTGTTCAGTATATTTATCTATTCAGTATGTTGTATGTGTTTGAGCCAGATGCTGATCTTGTGTTTAAAACATTTTGTATAACAGGCTTTGTAGTTGTGGACTGTGGGATTAACAAATAACCCTAAAAAAATTTATGAGTTTTGTGTGTTGAATTAAAATAAATCCTGGCAGTATTCATCCAGTATTTCCTTTAGAAAGAGATCTAATGTAGATTTACTTAAACTGAAAGCTCTAACACATGTTTGCATACATCATCAGTACTGGCCATGATAGGAAACAACAGCTGGATCATTAAGGACACACTTATGATTCTCCTTTGTTTTGATATGCATTCATTAGCGTATATGTTGCCATGACTGACAGTGCATCACATGTTTGTTTGCTATTTTTCCAGTTTCTTGTGCAACTCTTAACTATAAAACAATAATTAACAATAATCTACCAATAATTAGCAAAACATATTACACTAAGAACATGTAGTTGTAGGAGCTATATGCAGCTTCACCAATACATCAGGTTCAGTTACTGTCAAGACTCTACCCTGTGTCAGTGGGAGTCATACTCTCTGTCACATCAAGAAAACTGTATAAAGCAATTAAGTCCGTCTGGACAGTGCTGATAAATTCCATATAAGGCGTTTTTATGATGAAAGAGATATTACAGTGGTCTGGAGGAAAGAATCAGTGAAGTCAGAAATACACTCTCACATGAAACTGACAGCACAAAAGCAGCTATGGGTTCTCTTGCACCCACAGCTGCAATATATATTTTCAGGTCTTAGATGTAACATGAATCAATAACATATCATTTCCAAGGGGTCTTGTTTTGTTTTATATCATGATAGAAAAATGCCTTTTGCTGTAACCGAAGGACTGTTTGTGCTTGCTGATTCTTTGCTGATTTCTATGTCAGTTCTGTATTTTGTACAAGACTTCCATCAAGAAATTATGCTTTTAATTCCTCTAAAGTATTTTTTTCTAAAGACAACCATAGGATTATTTTTTAACAGAGACAGAAAAATCTGAAGACTCTCTGTCATTTTGATAAATTAAAGCTGGAGACATATAGAATCCGGCGGGGACGCATGTGGACATTGGACCAATGAACTGGTGGGTGATGAAACTGCAAGGTGGGCGGTACTTTTTTGTGGATTGTCTGCTTTCAACATGGCGGCATTTTATAGCTAAACAGCACACTAAAACATGTTTCTTAAAACATTCGAAGCGAGATGTCTCATTATCATTAAAAACTTAAATGATGGGAAATAATAGATTATGACTGAAGTTTTTATGACAACAACTTCCATGTCAGTGTCCTGTCCGACAATGCTCCTGGCAACCTGACAAAAGACTGAGCTGCTGCATCACACCACCCAAGTAGTAAGGTTATCTATCCTCAAGCTCTAGAACAGTTCTTAAAGTTGTCTTTTTTTGTCACTTTGCTTGGTTTTGTTACCAGTCTTAAATTTTGCAAATGCTTTGGGTGAATAAAACCTCTGTCTTTCCACCTTTACCTGCTCTCTCAGTGCTTTATGCTTACCCTGGTCCTTCACAGTGGTATTACTGTTTTTACTTTTAGTCTCACTCCACCACTGAACAACAAATCATCATGTTGAATATATCTCTTTGAAAAGTTGAGTTTGAAAATAAAGATTTGCAGTTACATCCTTATCAGTCAGAAAAATGTTCAACATTGATTTAATGTTGTGATATTCCTGATGATTTTGATCTTTGGATCTCTGAGAAATTACAACTCATCTCTTCTAACACAATAATCTGAGGCAAATGCCTCATAGATCATTTAGATATCTTTGCTTGACTAATTCTGTTGAATCACAGATGAATCTCAAAAAGCTGCTGCACCGCACTGAGCTTAATCTAAAGATCAGGAATAAATATGAGCTAGTACAGTAAGGTAGGGAGCAGATATTTAAATCCCTTATGATAATAGAGAGCAAAAAAGAGCTGCTGTTCTGTGAGAATGAATAATTTATCCAATTCATCTAAGAGCTCTTGTCTTCGTAGTATCAACACAAATCAAAGGCCAGCTAGGGGGGGTTGCATTGCTTCAGGAGGCCTGTTACATGAAAAGACGTGTTTTTTACTTCTAGTCCATTAAGTGTTTGGCTGAAAGAAGAAGAAGAAGAAGAAGAAGAAGAAGAAGTATAAATTTTGTCATTTTTGACACATCCACATAGGGTTATAAAGAGAATCCACCATGGTGGCTTTGGCTTACTTCTGCAGGCCTATTTCTGTGTTGTAACTCTGCCTTCATCAGACCATGATGTCTTGAAGTGCACTGAGGCCCTGCTCCCCCAAATAAAGGTGAGTTGTCACATTCAGTTAGAACAAAAATATATGGTGTTGTCATATTGGACTGAATGTTTTCCACTGTGACTCCGATTCATGTGTGTGAGTGTACTCTGACAACCGTTTTAATCAGTATTTTATCTGCTTTTTTAGGGGAACATTTCCATTTCACTAGTTAGCTTTGAGGCTGGTATGTTTGTTGAACATATTCAAAGCACTAAATGTGGAATTTTATATATTACTATATTTACAAATGTCTCTAAATGATATGCAGAGTAGCCACCTAATGGTGAAGGTCCCTCATTACACCAACTGAAAGAGGATACAACACTGTAGAGATAATCCCCAGTTCCATGTTAATATACTGTACAAAGTAAACACTCGTCTTCATAGTGTAATGTTTAGGCGGTTGGTATAAAGACAAGTAATGCATTGTACTGACAGGAAATGACAGACAGAAAACCTATTAAATATAAAAACTGCTGTTTTCAGAGCTGTCATGCAACCATGTAAGTCAATCTACTACTGTCTTGCTGTGTCTGGAATAACTCCCTATTTACTATGTAGTGCACCATTTTATTGTCTGCCAGTTTATTGTGTTATTGAGTGTCTAAATTCTGAATGTGTAATTTATGCACAGTATGGTGCCCTCAAACGTTCCCACAATGAAATGGTGTCAGTTTGCTAAAATGTAAAGAAATACAGGCTAAAAATAACAAGACTCAAGCTAACTCACTGATTCCATGGCAACATACGGTACATTATACAAATTATGGGAGCTGCAGTTCCAAAATGTAGAGCAAGATAATGCCAATGCAAATCGAAGAAAGACAAACAATAATAATAGGAGTTAATCAAAATCAAAATCAATCAAATAATTAATCAAAATTATCTGTCATGTTGCACATACAGTGTGGCACAACCACTGTGTCTATGTGAGTTTATTCACGACAAGAGTTGGAATAGCAAATCCTCCATTTATTACTCTGAATTTATTGATGCTACACATCATAAAATCCTCAATGTGCTATATTTATGACTTATGAGCTACTTTTCATCAAACAACCACCCAAGCTTAAATCCTAAAGGGAGTCTCCTCATCGTAATACCACATACGAATGTGTGAAAATACACACTGAAACAATATTGAGTTTTCCTGCTCTACTCAAACTCTCATATAGAGTCATTTAGAATCAGGGTGTTATTAGCATCAGACACCTCCTTCAATGTGGAGATTAAGGAGAGGTTGCTATGAGACGGCCTTTTATACTGCACTGTAGATTGCAGTGATGGTGGAGTTGTGTGCAGCTGGATATGTGCATGTCTAATGGGTTGAATGAGTCTTTATGTTTAAAATAAACACGTACAAATACATTAAAGCACATTTA